AATTTTATAGTGACAAATTTTTTTAGGGTCACAATTTATCAAATTATTTGTAACAAATTAATAAATTTTTAGGTCACACAGTATGTATTGGTCACAATTTCTCTGTTTAATTGGTCACACACCAACCAATTTATTGGTCACGATCAACCAAATCATTTGTGACCATCACCACACCGTTGTAACAACCCAAACCACCGTCGTCAAAATCACCAAAACCACCTCCCGGCAACAAAACCATCGTCTCAAATTTGATAAGTTGTGACCGTCACAATCGCCGCCACTGCAGCTACCAACAACAAATTAGATCCAAAATCGACAACACTGTACAACCGCCATCACCTCGCAAACCATCATCTAAAATACCATCACCACCACGACCAACCCACAACCCTCATTTCATTACCACCACCACTAAAACACAAGACCTCCACCACCCATATCCTACAACCCGAAAAATCCCCAACCCTACCATCATCGCCGCCACCATCACTGACCACCACACCACCACCCAACCACCATTAAAACCACATATCCACCACCACCCAACCACCGCACCGAAACCACTGCACACCTCATCAAATTTAAAAAAAAAAGACGAAGACTAATCGCTTTAGAAGGAGGTGCCTTCTTCTCCTTAGTGGTTTTGCTATTGGCGTCCTTGGGCTTAGCAACAGGAGCCGGCTTCTTCTTAGCAGCAACAACAGATTTGGAAACAGGCAAACGAGCCGGGGGAAGCTTGTATGAGTTCTAACCAGGTTTCCAGAAGCTATAAGCGAGGAGGAGAGAAAGAGAGGATGGGAATGAGAGGGGAGGGGGGTAGAGAGAAAAGATGTGGTAAATGATTTGATTTTTTTCAGGGTTTGAGTAATTATAATTTAAATAGAAATGAATTAATATATGATTTTTGTATAAATAAAGTTTATATCTGAAATTAAAAATTGAATTTTTAAAATTCTGATTTTGTGTAATTTCCACATTTTATCATTTGATTATTATAATAAATTTATCCAACATATTTTTTTCTTGATTCTTAATTTTCTTTGAATTATTTTCCTTATATTTTCAATTAATTACCACACACTATCACTAATTATGAGATTTTATCAAAATATTCTGTTGGCGTACTTTGAAATGAGCAACAAAAATTTAGTTCACCTCTTATTTTTCCTTTTTTTTTATTATTTAAAAATAAGATGAAAAAATAAGTCCACGCTTAACTCGTGTTCATAAACGATTTACAAATTCTTAAGTCATTTTTATCCATAAATTTCGAAAGACCCACATCAATACTCACTTATATACGACTCGTTTCTATCTACTTATAATTAAAATTGTTTATAAATACCTTCCAAATATGATATGACGTCTTTTTATCTCTTCCTAGCTTATTTTTTTGAAAGCTTTAAATGTAAGGCGTGTCAAAGAAAGTATGCTTTCTATTGAGACTGGGTGCAAGCAACGTGCAATGTACGTTTGCTTAGTTTATATTTAATAT